CTAGGGGAGATCAGCACAGGTGTAGAGATCAGAGAGCAATGTACAAGAATTGGTTCTTTTCTTCTACTATGTAGGAATCAGGGGTGGAACTGGAGTCTTCAGACTTGGTAGCAAGCGACTTTGCCAGCTGAGCAACCTTGTTAGCACATGTTTTTACTTTGTAGCTCAGTCTGGTCTTGTACTCTGTGTAGTTCAAGCTGGGCTGGAGCTTATGATCCTCCTGCCCCTGCCACCACACCTGGCTCAGGAAGACTCTGAGGTCACCCCTGTTAGTCCTTTGTTCCCTATGCTTGAGCTGGTGACCAGAAACTTGCTGCCTCATTAGGATATATGCCACAGCTTTCTAGAATATTCCCTTTTAAGACAAATTTTGCCTCTCAGAGTTTGCTCTGTATTATAATGTATTTGATTTTGAATTTTTGAACACTCAGGACAAAGTGCTTAATGGAAATGAGCCCCTGGTACAGGTAGAGGGAGAGGAGGTGAGGATCTTAGTTGGTGGACTACTCTTCCCTGGGACAGGACACCAAGAAGGGATATATCTGATCTTCTCCATGTATATGGGGGAACAAGAACAGTCAGATTTGAGGAGACAGGAAGAACAGTGATTGCCAGGGATTAGGAGGAGAACAGATAGTTTGGTAGGAACGGAGTCTCAGTTGGGAAGATGGAGCGCTGAAGGCAGAGGAGGTGATGGCTGCACAGCTTTGGCAGTGTGTTTTTGGGGACTGGGTTTGTTGCTTGGGTTGAAGCCAGTGGCTTCACAGCACAAGCCCTTCTGTTGCTGAGAATGGCCTCCTGACCTCTGCTCCAGTGTGGATGTGTTTGCTCAAACACGGCAAAGATGGTAGATTTTGTTCTGTTATCACCCCAAGTTAATTATAAAAAGGAATAGTCTTTGTGATTTATAGCTCTGGCAGTAGGTGAACCATTTTCCAAGTTCAGCTTGGCCATTTTGTTCTCTTGGTCTGGACACAGGCCACCAAGCCTTGTTGTGGGGACCCACAGGAAGCTAGAGACCTGTGTTCCTGGTGTGAAGCAATCCGGGTCGCTCAGAGCTGTTCTTCAGCCATTCCGTCTGCCTTCATTTGCCCTCAGCTGTCCTCACACTCCTCTATGGGGAAGTGACAGTCATCGCTCTCCTGGACTGAAATGACTCCTGTGGTCTCCTTTCTTACCCTCTATCTAGTTTCTTCCTGATAATCAATTCGATCCTTCTGATAATCAATTCGATCCTTTTAATTGACATATTGAAGTGTACCAGCTCCTTGTCTTCACAAAGCATGAAATAAAATAAACAAGCCTATTGTCTTAGTTAAGGTTTTTATTGTTGTGAAGAGCCACCATGACTATGGCAACTCTTATAAAGGAAAACATTTAATTGATTCGGCAACTTACAGGTCAGAGGCTCAGTTCATTATTATCATGGAGGGACATGGCGGTGTGCAGACAGACATGGTGCTGGAGAAGGAGCTGAGAGTCCTACCTATATCTTACAGGCAACAGGAAATGATCTATGAATTGCGTGGTATCTAGAACATAGGAAATGTCAAATACCATCCCTATAGTGACATACTTTCTCCAATAAGGCCATGCTTCCTAATAGTGCCACTCCCTATGAGCTTACTGGGGCCAATTACATTCTATTCTAAGGACCACACCTGCTTGTCTTTGAAAGCCCTCTACTGCTTCCTGTCAGTGCTCAGATAAAATCCAAGCTCTTTGGTACACCTGGCCCCTTCAGGTCTGGTGTATACTTCTCTCTTCAACCTCGCCATGTCTCATTTCCCCTTACCACCAAGCTCCAGCCACGTAACCATCCCAGCTTGGGCCTTGCTGTCCTTGGACACACTCCAGACTGGAACTTTCCTCTTTGGATCCCTGCATGTCTGCCCCTTTCTGATCGTGCAAAAACAAAAAACAGAAACTAAAATCTATTTGCTCCTCAAAAAAAGGCCACAGCTATAGGGCCACACTATGCTGGCACCTTGTTTATATTTTGTCCCCAGTAGAATTTTTGTTCACACCCCTGTTGTTTATCTCCTACAGCCAGACTGTGAGAGCCATGAGAACTGGAGACCTTGTTTCACCCTTGCCTATGGTCAGGGCTCAGGTCAGTTCCTGTCACATAGAAGGCATGGATACAGTATTGAGTGAGTGAATGGTGACACAAAGAAACATAGTAGAATCTGGCAGTGTGTGAGAGGCCGTCCAGAGCTGGCCAGGTCATGGCTGAGTTCTCCCTGATCCCGCTGTCCAGCACTGACCCACCGTGCCACCCCTACCCTACAGCTTGCCTGCTGCTCTGCTTGCTTGGGCCCTGAGCCAGGCCCTCTTTCTGGGCTGCATTGTGAGATGTCTTAGGTCCTTTGTGTAGAGCATGCTTCTCCTACTGAGATATCTAGAGAGACATGCCTGTGAAAACAGGACATTTGTGTACCAGGTGCCGTGCTACTCCCCAGGGAGCTGCTGGCACCTGCTGGGCATTTGTGCTTAGAGGAACTGAGGGTGCCTGAAGCAGGGCAGCTGTGTTGAGAGAAGCCAAAATCAGGTGGAGAAGAGGAGGGATCAGTTTATGAAACGAACAGTGCTTCCCAGTGACAAACAGTGAGAGGCTATGTCTTTGGGGGCTGCTGGGGCACCTGTAGAACAGGTGTGTTCAGAGCAACTGAGGCCATCTGGAGCAGGGCAGCTGCATTGGGAGAAGCAGAGGTCAGGGGCAGGTTGAGATGAGGCAAGATGGTCTGCAAAAATGTCTGTCTATCTATATCTGTCTGTCTGTCTATCCTTCTGTCCATCTATTAACACTGAGAAGCCATGAGCCAGCACTGCCTTCAGGAGCTGCTTGGGAAGAGCTTGACGATCATGTGTTTCTCTCGAGGTTCTGTTTGACTCCCAGCTGTGGATAATCCTCACCGTGGGCTCAGGGTGGATTACTTGACCCCTCTGAGCAATAGTTCCTTCAGTTATAAACAGGGCCCGCGCTCGGCCTTAGCAGTTATGGTGTGAACAGCTGAGCTACAAACACAGTACTCACCACATTCTAGATATACAGAAAGTGTCGTGATTCAAATGTGGAATGCCCCAGCCCAGGCTCACAGGTCTGAATAGTTGATGGGTCTCTAGGTGGTGGTGCTGCTGGTGAGGGCTGTAGAATCTTTAGAGACGAAAGAGTTATCTGCTATATTTGCTACAGGCAGCCCAGTGGGAGGCCTTTCTCTGCAGGCATTTCTTCCTCTAGGCTTGTAAGTTTACACTCAGTATTTGCGGTGTGGGTTTTTAAGTTTTAAGAAACACTTTACAATTGTATGTGTATGAGGAGTGTTTTCCCAGCATGTATGTATTTGTATCACATGTGTGCCTCATCCTGTAGAGGCTGGAAGAGGGTGTCAGATCCCCTGGAACTGGAATTACAGTTGTGAGCCACTTTATGGGTTCTGGAATTCAAACTCTGGTCCCCTGCAAGAACAGTCAGTGCTCATGAATGCTGGGCTGACCTTCCAGGCCCTGTGGTGAGGAAATTTGCTTATGTGAAATTTGCCTTCAATATAATTATAGAAAAGACCCAGTGGCAATGTCAAATCAAATGAAATGAGTCAGTGTCCCTACAGGCAGACCTCCCTTCACAGCACTTCCAATCTTTTTTTTCTTTTTGATTTTTCCAGACATGATTTTTCTGTGTAACAGCTCTAGCTGTCCTGGAACTCACAAAGATCTGCTTGCCTCTGCCTCCCAAGTGCTGGGAATAAAGGCGTAGGCCACTGTCACACAGCTCCAATCTTTTGATATTGTGGCATAATACTGTCCCAGTCATTTGCAAAGTTCATTCTGAGGAACTACAATCAAGTTACAAAAACAAAGCCCTCATAATGTTTTAGGCAGGATCACAACTTTGTGCTGGGCTGTTTTCATAGCTATTCTTGGTCATGTGAAGACATGTCTTAAGAGTCGGTGGCATTTGTATTTCTTGAATCTTAGTCTTCCTGAAAGTTGTAATTGTTTCAGGGAATGATGTGGTGACTGATGCTGTCTGTATTTTGACCTTGAGTTTCTCTCTTCTCAACTACCCTGAGCCCAGTCTGTAAACGGGCAGCTATGTGCACAGAAGACCCTTGTGGGTGGAAGGTAGCACACAGAAATCATGTATAGTATTGGTCATCCCTAGCTGTCGGTCAGGTGGCCTACGGTGCCGGGTCTGCTGGTTGCATGCATGGGCAAAGGCAGGACCTAGAAACAGTGAGATCCTAAGCAGTTTTGCTCCTTGCTTTGGGGGGGGCATCGTCCTGTATCCAGGAGGATAGTCTCATAGTCTATGGCATCAGGCATCCTTTGCTGTAGACAGCATGGGCACCCCAACATCTCTACAGCAGGCAAAGGAAGAGCAAGGCTCTGTCTTAGTCCCGGTAGTTCAGAGTCAAGAAACATGACCATTAAAGAAACTGAGGCAGGGGAGTTCATATAGACTCAGCAGCTGAGTGGCCTGGGGAAGGCTTTGTCCAGGGCTCATGGAGGGCCTATATGAGGCTGTAGCACAGGAAAGTGCTTCTACAGACTGGGCAGACCAACTGTAGGACAGGGTGCTTGCAGGTGGAAAGTGGCAGGAAAGACAACAGGGTTGGACTTAGAAGGCAGTGCTAACCCCTCCTCCCTTCCTCTGTGTGGCGCTGGGCTTTTCAAACACAGTTCATTTTTAGTTTTGGGTATGAACATTGCAGGTAGCTAGTGTCATCAAAGGACCTTCCTGATGCAGTGTGGAGCGTACATGAGCATCTATCGCTTGGGCTTTATTCTAGAGAAAGCTCAGGTTTGCAGGCACCTGTGCATTAGAACCATGTGGGGGACGTTGGAGGTGTGGCCCAAGCCTCTGCTGCTGCTGCAGGGCCATACTTCTAGTACCCAAGGGTAGCTACATCCTCACAGTGCTTGGAATGTAAATTATCAAGTCCACTGTGGCTGTAAACATGTTTTATTCATAGGCCTGTTTTCTTTCTTTTAAACAGGTATTTTGATGTTGGACTACACAATTTCTTAATCAGGTAAGCCAGTGCCTTTTGTTTTAGCTCTCACTGAATAGTGCATCTATTATGGAAGAATGCTCAGGGGAAAACCATAGCAGATGAATGAATTAGTAGTTGAGTTACTTGCCAAGAAAACATTGCTAACACTATGTGTGCATTCTCCACAACCCCACATAAATAATCACTCAGATCTGGTTACATCGGAAGTGATAGTTAACTGTCTTAGTTTGCTTTACATTGCTGTGATAAAACACTGACCAAAAGAAACTTGGGGAAGGAAAGGGTTTATTTAAGCTTGCAGTCCCACCACCAAAGGAAGCTGAGGCAGGAACCAAACAGAGACCAAGGAGGAACACAGCTTCCTGGCTTGCTTCTTCTGCCTTGTTCATTTAGATTTCTTATCAGCTCAGGGTGATCTGTCAAGGATGGTACTGACCATTATAGGCTAAGTATTCCTATGGCAATCAGCAATCAAGAAAATGTTCTATAGATACCCCCAAGGCTGATCTGATAAGTCTTCTCACGACTATCAAGTTGACAACCAGAATTAGCCATTACATTTACCAAGGTCTCACTTCCATCTATTAGGCCAATGGGAAGGTAAATAGAAAAAATTAGCTCTATGTTAGACATTCAGTAGTCTAATTGACCAATGCTCTCCCATTCAGTTTAATCTTTTAAACTAAATATATCTTGTTTTACAGTCATGGAGTATGACTTAGTACATAATTGAGATTATAGACAGCAATTTATAACTTAGTTTATTGGTGGTTTTTTACCAGAGTTGTGTTATGGAGCATATTAATTTCACCTAGCTATGAAATTAAACAAACTAGTTGGAAATAAATATATCAGAATAGTAGCAATGCTTATAAAAGGTATATGATTTTGAAAATCAACTTTGTGGGACTAGAGAGATGGCTCAGTGGTTTAAGAACACTTGTTGCTCTTGCAGAGGTCCTGGGTTTGATTACCAGCACTCACATGGTGGCTCACAACCATCTGTAACTTCAATTCCTTCCAAAGCCTTGGATCCAAAGCCTTCTTCTGGCTTCTGTGGGCACCAGGCACACACATGGTGTACACACACATACAGGCAGGCAGGCAAAATATTCATACATATAAAATAATGAATCTCAAAAAAATAACTTTTCTGTGTTTTCCACGTTTTTCATAGTGAGCATCATTGCTCTAATAATGTTAAAAAATAACTTAAATGTCTGTCAAAAATGTATGAGGGAATGATTACTGAAGGAACCACTGTAGATGAAAGCTTTCAAGGGAACCAACCACCAACTGGAGAGTTGTGTTTCTATAAATATGTGGCTCATGTGAATTGATTCCAAAAGTTTGTTAAACTCTAGTCATTGTGGCTTCTGTTTCTATCATGTGGTAGCTTGCCACAAGGCAGGACCTCTTCCCTACTGCTAAGACGCTGATGGGAAATGTCACCTGTATTGAACCTCTATGCCAGGCTGCATATGGCAGTATCCAGAAGGGATCAAGCTTCTTTTTCAAGCCTTCCTTGGAGGTTGCACATTGAAATTTCTTCAGTCTGCCCCATGTTTAGGAATGTGGAATGTCTTGATTTTCTCCAAGATGGTAAATATAAAAGATAGTTTGTGAACCTGAAATAGGACAAGGGTCAGAACAGTGTAGCAGGAAGGATAATGAACCAGAGAGACAGGAGAATTGCAGATCTAAGTGGATTATAAAAAGCTGTCTGGGAAGACATCCAGAATAGCAACCCCTCACCTTCATCTGGACATGGAACCCAGGGTCTTGCTAGGTGACACTCACTGCTGACCTATACCTCCAGCCTACTGTGGAGTTTGTACTTGATGTTTTGGTGTTTTGTACTGTCAAGGAACTGTTCCTACATGCCTTGTGGTAGACACAAGTTGGTACTTATTTTCTCTAGTACCTTTGTTCAGGGCAGGGGTCAAATCTTAATTATTTACTAATATTCAAGTCAAGAAACTTGTATGGGACTAACCTTCAACAAGCATTTGTGGTGGGAGTAAATGAATGAAATGCAAGGGAGGATCAGGTATGGATCTCTGCAAGTTCAAGACCACCCAGGGTTACACAAGAATGAATCAGTCTAAAAGAATAACAGAGCTCATGCCTTTAATCCCAGCACAAGAGAGGTATATAAGGAAGAAGCAAAGGGTCTTATGTTTCCAGTCACAGGGAGGACAGGATCTCCATTTCAGCCTTGGTAGAGGTAAGAGCTACTGGCTGGCTACTTTGCTTCTCTGATCTTCAGCTGGGACCCCAATATCTGTCTCTGGGTTTTTATTATTCATATTACAAGCCAGATCAAATAACATGTGTTTCTTATGGTTATGGAATGAGTGACAGCTGTCCTTCTTGTCAGTACCTCAGTCTCTGTGAGCAGGTGTCTTCATCATCCACTACATGAGATTGTTACTACATGGCATCCCTCAACTTGCATTCTCCTAGCTTAGGAGGTTAAGCATGAGAAACCAAGGATGTTCAAGGTTGGATGAACTGGTAAGATCTGTTTCAGTGGACCAATGCCAATGATGCTAAAGCCAGACACAGAGGCTGTAGAGCAGCTGGGTACGTCTCACAGTGGTCTATAGCCCTGCAGTGCACCAGAGAGGGGTGACGTTTTTTCTGTAAATACGGCCCCGAAGGAAATCTAGAAGAGAGAGAGCATACACTTAAAGATTCTTTCTGAGGGAAAATATGTGTAAAAAGATGTGTAAAAGGGATTGGCACTACTACTGTTTGTTTTTGTTCCAAGAGCTATTTGCTGGCTCCAGCAAGCACCAGGGGTGTTCTCTGGGTTGTCAGGTTCTCTCAGATGCTCAGTGCGGGCATAAAAGAAAGTGCAGCCTGCCTGATTAGTCAGTGTGGCTTTGACGTTGATGGCGGTAATGTTGCCTTCCCTGGAGTGATGTAAGTTTCCCCGGAGCCCACTCTGTGATCTCAAAGCTGAAGGACTAGCTTCCTTGTTGATGCAAGTGTGTGCAGCACAGGGCTCAGGCAGGAAGGGGCAGCCACATGGGAGATGTGAGTATTTCTGTCTGGTGTTTTATGACGACTGCAGGAAAGCAATGGGCTCCATTCTTCTTCGTCTTACAAAAAATCAAAGACTTTTTTGAGTCAGGAACAACCACTCATCAGAGAACCTCAGAAGACACTGGCTGGAATTTTTCATGCGTCATGTGTCGATACAAAAGAAAAAGGAAAATTGACTGGGTTGGCCAAAAAAAAAAAATCATAGAATAGATTGCTTTTGTCTCATTATGGATAATAGACTGGCATGTTTAAATTTAGCTTTGGCAAGAAAGTAAAAAAGATTTGTATTTAAAATATTTTAGCCTTGCAGTTTTGTCTCACCTAGAATTATAGATAGACCCCTTTCCTGCCCTCTTCCAGCCCTGCGGATCTCGTCATGTTGTCTGGGCTGCCTGTGAATCTGTGGATGGAAGCAATCCTTCTGCCTCGGGTCCCAACTAGCTGTGACTACAGATATGTTCCTCAGTTCTGGATTATAGCTCACCCCTTCAAGGCAAATGATACACACTACTTATTCATTGCCCTCTTCACTGATGGGATTTGGAAACACTTAGGAGACACATCTGTGGTCATCAGGGATGTCTTTCTGAGGAGGGTACATCCACACTGAATGTGTGTGGTGCTACCTCCTGGGCATGGGTTCTGGGCTCTAGTATCCATTTCTTTCTGCTTCCAAATTGGGTACAGTGTGCACAGCTGCCTCACACTCCTGCCACCAAAGCTTCCCTGCCAGGATGGACTATACACTCAAACCATTAGCCAGAGTTAAGTCCTTCCTTCCTTTCATTTCATCAGGTATTTTTTATTGTCATACTATGAAAATTATCAAATACAGAGATCCAATGCTGACAGGTGGGGACATTGCTGTGGTGGACCTGGTCATATGGCCCTTAGATCTTTAGAGTTGGTCTGTGCTGGAAGGGAGCTGCAGCGTTTGACTATTTGCTTTTGGGTTTGTTTTTGCTTTGGTCTGGTTTTCCTCGCCAACCTTCACTTCTCCCTTTTGGAATAGGAATGAATTTCATGGCATTGTATATGTAATTTGTTCTTTAATTATATAAAGGCTCTGAATTAAGATTCTGCCTTGAGTTGTGGAAGAGACTTTGACCCTTAGAACATTGAAAATGTTAGAAATTCTTGTTTGGGGGACTCTTAAAAATGAAATAAATGTTTCATTATTGGTGGCCATAAACCTTAGAGGACTAGGAGTGGAATATTATGGTTGAAAGTGACATGGGGTATTCAGGTGACAAGGGATGGACTTATGGGTTTTCATTGGAAATTTGATTGGATGTAGTCACCTTGGAGGCACACCTCTAGGTGGAGGGATGGGTTTAACCCTGCATGTGGGCAGCACCCTCTTATGGTGTGGGACCCTAGCCTGAATAAAAAGGAGGATAAGAGGTAAGCACCTACACTCATTTCTTACTATTTCTAAAAGCTAATGCTATGTCCCCAGTACCCATATCCCCAGTACCTCGCCATCCTGCCGTGACGGGTGTGACTTCCAAGTATGAGACTAAATAAACTCTTCCTTGTTTCTGAGACTTTTTGTCAGGTGTGTTGTCATAGTAACTAATTAGTAGCATGCTGTCCCCTTCTTTGATCTTTTCATGGGGAGACAGTTTTTAAAACAGAGCATCACAATCCTCTAAAAGAAAACCTGGATTACCCTTGTCGTTAACAGTTTCAATTTCACTTTTTTTTGTGTGATTTTTAAAAATTGCTTAAATGATTATAAATATAAAATCATTAAAACTGTCTTTCCTCATTTTAAATGTTGCATATATTTAACTTTTTAATCCATTTCAAATGTGCATTTTGAGTAGGTATCTTTTCTCCCCTCAATAGTGAAATAAATTGTTTTTAACCAAAATTTCTGCAATTCTCTGAAATACTGTGTTTGCCACATCCAAGCCCTTACTTGATATCTTGTTAGGACTCCGAAAAGTACAAAGTGAGAATACTGCC